GTCCCTCCAAATCTACTTTTTTCCGTCATTCTCTTATTTTATCCCTTTAAAAAACCCAAACCCAACACAGATTCTTTTCCCCTCATCAGAAATTCAAGATCCTGGCGCGGGTCCACAGGGCACACGGTGTGGAAGCGCTCGGTCGGGCTTTCCTTTGCCACAAGTAATTGGCTACTCTAAAGCCTGAAAAGCCAGCTCGTAATCGGGGACAAGCAGCCGCCATCTGGCCGCTCACACGGCCGGAGCCCCGATCACACAAAGCTCCCTAATCAGCCAACGTGGGAGAGCGTCTCAGCGCAGGGGTCGCTTTAGAGCAGGCAGGATTAAACAAAAAAAAAAAAAAAAATTAAATTGCAAATTTCACTTGATTTTTGCATTTGAAACCAGAGTCTATATGTATACGCTGCTCATTCCCCAGTACTACAGGGCTAAAAATGGAAGGAAATCAAAGAAACATTTTGTTCTCATGCCTCAAATTAGCTCCTGCCTGGCAGAGCCACAGACTGTGCTAAGAAGCTTCACACTTAACGTATTAATTTACACCAGAGAAAAATGACGACGTCTTGGGAGTCTCGTTAACATCCTCCCAGCCAGAACAGCTCCCGAGACCTTAAAAGCCCACGCCGTGCTGGACTCTGCCTTCCCATGTCCCGCACCTTTGCGCCTCGAGGAAACCAAAGTCTCGACCTGACTGGATGCCTCCCAGAAGGGCAACACTTCCTAAATTACCAAAGGGCTTCCTAAATCCCGCTGGGCCCTGCTCCAGGCTATTTTTTAACACATTTTAGAACATCCAGGAGAGAAACCCAGAAACCAGGCTCGGCGCCGCTGACGTGACACACTCACTCCTACGCAGACCCTCCCTTTTCTTCACCAGGTTCCCCGTTTTACAGAAGGGAAACCTCAGGGGAGAAAAAGGAGGGGACAATTTACCCAAGCCCACCCCCCAGAAGTAGAAGACAAGCGATGTTTCCCGAGCCCAATACCCATCCGATGCTTACCTGGATGGTGCATCCCACCCGGAGGGAAGGGGTGCGGGTGAGGCGGGTGTGCCCCGCTGGGTGCAGCCCCGGAGGGGGGACCAGGGGCACCTGCGCCAGGCGGCATGGGTGGGGGTGGCATGGCAGGAGGCATGCCGGGAGGCATCGCTCCGGGAGGCGGCACCGGCGGGGGAAACGATCCTGGGGGTGGGAGGCCTGGGAAGAGAGACAGGGAGAATTCGGTTAAGGATAAAAAACAAATCAAAAGCCAAAAAAAAAAACAAACCTCCCAGGCAATTGGGAAGGAGATGAAAGCACAAATGGCCTCAGGAACCATAAAAACCCCAACAGACAGAAGCAGGATGCTTCCACTCAGCCCTGGGACAGCATAGTTTGAGCTGCCAGGGGGAGGGAAGAGAACTTCCTAAGGTCCCGCCAGCTCGTCATCCTTCAGCTCCGCTGAGGGTTTTGCACCGACTCCCACCAAAGAGCACCCACGCGGGGCAGCGCCACTGCCCCGAGCCTCTCCATGTGACACAGAGTGGCTCCGCACGGCAGAACGCAGCCACCCCTGGGACCAGCGGTGGATGGGCGCAAGAGCCTCCTGTCACCTAATGCGGCACAGGGACACGGGTCCTGCCAGGATTTACCCACCTGGAGGGGTGACGCCAGGTCCCAGGGAAGTGACAACAGGAGTCGGGACAGACGGAGGAGGAGGAGCGTCGGCGAAGAGCTGATGGGGCCGATCTGCCTGCGAGAGCGGGTTCTGGGCTGCCAGGAGACGCTCGGCGGCCGAGCCGTGCCGCTCGCCTTTGGAATCTTTTTTGAAGGCGTAGGAAACGGTGATGGGCCTGTTGCAGAGGTACTGTCCATTCATGGCCTCGATGGCAGCGTCCGAGGCGTCAAAGCTGGCGAAGTTGATGAAGGCATAACCCTTCGAGTTGCCCGTGTCGGGGTCTCGCATAATTTTCGGCGTCTGCAGGATGACCCCAAAGGCGCTGAAGGTGTCGTACAACAGCTTCTCATCGATTTCGGGGTCCAGGTTGCCGATGAAGATGTTGGCCCCCACGTCCAGGTTTTTGTTATGGGCCGAGGCTTTGTTCACTCGTATCGGCTTCCCATACAACTTGATCATGTTCATGATCTTAATGGCATAATCCGCGTCCTCCTCGCTGAGGAACTCCACAAATCCATAGCCTGCAACAAGCCCCCAGGCAGGGCGTTAGGAGAGGGCAGACCCCTGGCTCATCCGACCCCGCTTGATTTAAAACCAGAGCTCCCAAAGCTCCCCTTAGGGGGAAGGAAGACAATCCTTCCTGGGGATCGGTCACCCCCCATCAGTTTTCCCGCAATAATCTCTCTCCAACCATCCCCAGCTCAAGTATTTTATTCAACGAGAAGCTTTTGAGAGCGGGCAGTAAAAAGCTCACCTTGGTGCTGGCCTGTGACGCGATCCTTGGGCATGTGGGTATTGACCACCGGTCCTGCCTGGAGGAAGAGCTCCCACAGCAGCGGCTCGCTGACCTTCTCATCCAGCCCCCCGACGTACACCGTCGCATCTTGTGCGGAGGGGAAAAAAAGAGAAACCAAGTTAGAGCCGTGAGTCCAGAAAGCTGGATGGAAGCAGCAGCTGCGCTAGGCCTTGACGGCTTGATGCCGAAACCACTCAAGTCCAAGACCGAGATCCCACTTAAACTTTTAACCATATTCCCCATAATTACACCCTCAACCAGGGAGGCCCCCATAGCCCCCCCCCTTTTCTCTCAGGAGACCAGAGCCTCTCCATTCCAGCTCCCATGCACTCAGGAAGCCTATTGCTCCCCGTCACGAGGCCAGGACCCCCCAGCTGACACCCCCACATCTCAGGGGAGCCCAGGTCCTCTCCGTAGTTCCCTTACCCTCCAGGGCACCCTGCTCTGCCCCCCTCTCCCCCCCAAGTACCCCATGTCTCCAGGTAGCCCACACCCCCTTAAACATCTCCAGGGAGCCTGAGGCCCCCCCGGAGCTCCACTGGATCCCCAGGGAGCCCAGGACCCACCCGTGGAGGTCCCCATGTCCCCAGAGATCCCAGGTGCACCCACAGAAACCCACCCTGTCCTCAGGGACCCCCGCAGAGCCCTGCCACGTCCCTACAGAGCCCAGGGTCCCCCACAGAGGTTCCCCATGTCCCCAG